CTTTCTGCCAAATATTTTTCTTTGTTTGATGTTCAAACAAAATCATTGTTTGACTTCATAGAGACTTAAAATTTGCTGCAGATTCCCAGCCTGCAGGGAACAATGTCAGACTTCAGAGGAGTCAGTGTTTAATCTTCGAAGGGATGCATTCAGCAGAAGAGTATTAGGGATTTTCTCATTCTTCATTAGAAAATGGTAAATTCTGGTAAATTGTTGATTGGACACATCAAGAAATTGGATTAGATATACAGACTCTTTGTTTCTTGTTGCTGCTTCAGCCATGCAAGGCATAACAAATTCATTGCCTTTTGACAGCTACATGGTGTCCTATACTTAACTGCTTTTCTGACCTGTCAGTGGTCTTTAGCTTTGCCTAGTCTATGGTTGAAATTAGTTGGCAAGTAACATGTGATGAACAAGCCGATACTGTGCCTTCCCTGTCAAACCGAACACCAATAGTGGCAACTTCCAGTGACTGTAACAGACATTTGCTGATGACCACTAACATTTGTATGCTTGCCTATATGGATATTCTTTAGTGTTGGTGCCCTAAACCAGAACAAAGGAAAAAGCATACTTTCTACCCATGGTAAGAAAGAACATGGCCTATTGTTTCTAAAATTGATGAAATGAGAGGGGAAGCCCTTCATTTTAAAACAGTTTTTTACAGACATGTTGTTAGTGCTAAAGATTGAATCAGAGTGCTGTTGGAATATGGAAGTATTGATTTGGTTTTTTCTTTGCAGCTTTGAACAGGCAAAATGGGTAATAAATGAATAAAATGAAGTTTAAATGCACCAGCAAATTCAATATAGCAAATCAAGTAACTCAATCCATACTGCATACTTGGAGAATTGCATTACAGCTATTGTTTCACTTTTGGACCACAGTGAAATAGTTTTTGAAAGATTCCCATTGTTTGTTAGGAGTTGCATTGTGCCCAGTTATGAGCTAAGAAATACTTAACTTCCTTTTTTCTTCAGATACCCCCACCCCAATTCTGTTGCCATAATCATTAAGAACTTCATTTGAATGAAGATTTCAATGGATCACTCTTATTAAAATCAATCCCAGAGATTATGCCTCCTTTGCAATGCTCCATGTATTTATTAATTCTACAACCAATACAGTTTTCTGTCCGTGTATGCAGGCTTTACTGGAAGTAGTGAATGACCTCTTTGAGGAACAGACTGACTTGGAGAAAATTGTCAAGAAAATTATGCATCGGGCCCAGACTCTGCTGAAGTGTGAACGGTGCTCAGTATTACTTCTGGAAGATATCGAATCACCAGTAAGTATGGCTGCACATTCTGTAGAAAGGCTAATATCTGAGTGATGGAGAAGCTGCTTTTATTGTGGTGAAACTGTTTCATATCATATGTAAGTACTGGACAGCAAGTATTCTTCCAGCACGTCATTCTTGCATTTAAGTTAGGTACAGGTTGAATCTTTGTCAACACCAGTGTTGTGGTTTAACTCCAGTAGGCAACTAAGCCCTTCACAGACACTCACTCATTTCCCTACCCCAGTGGGATGGCGAAGGGAATTGGAAGGGTAGAAGTGTGAAAACTCATGGGTTGAGATAAAGACAGTTCAGGGGTTGAGATAAAGACAGTTTAATGGGGAAAGCAAAAGCTGTGTACACAAGCAAAGCAAAATAAAGAATCCATATGCTACCTCCAATTGACAGGCAGGTGTTCTGTCACTTCCAGGAAAATGAGCCTTCGTCATATGTAACGATTACTTGGGAAGACAAATGCCGTTACTCTGAAAGTGCTCCCATTTCTCCTCCTTCCCCCAGCTTTTATTGCTGAGCATGATGTCATATGGTATGGGATATCCCTTTGGTCAGCTGGGATCAGCTGTCCCAGCTGTGTCCCTTCCCAATCTATTGTGTACTGCTCAATCTACTCACTGGGGTGACAGAGTGAGAAACAGAGAAGGCCTTGACACATCCCAGTGTTACCAACACTGTTTTCATCACAAATCTGAAACATGTTATCATACAAGCTACTATGAAGAAAATTAACTCTATCTCAGCCAAAAGCAGTATAGCTACTTTTTCAAATGGAAACTGAAAGGTACGTTTGTGATTCCTTCTGGTCATTTGAAGGCATTTAATGGGATTTCTGTAAGTTGCTGATCTAACTGATCTAACTATTGGTAGTGTGATACAGCTGATACACTGTGATTCTCAGTTGTCTGTGTGATGGACTTAGTGCCTACTACAGAGAGGCTAGGGCAACTTAACTGAGAAGCAAGGTGCTGTTATGGGAAAAATGACCTGATTTGTTATGAAATATTTATTTGCTCAGTTAATTTCTTTCATGGTATAGCCACTAGAAGGAAAGAAAATTCCTGTCTTGTAGCTTCCTTTACATTTACCTGGAATTTATGACCTTGCTAACATTTTCAGGCTAATGACTTATCAGATGAGTGGTGCTTGCAAGCAGTTTCAGAACCAGAAACAGTTGCATCATCAACCAAATCTTCAATGCTCGTTTTTAGAACTAACCTTTCCTGCATACATTCCAGTAAATAATTATCAGATGTCTTAGTTGGTATTTCTACAGTGTCCACACTTTTCCATCTGTTATTGTTGTTTAACTGTAGCAAACTGAAATACTTATGTAGTTTCTATTCTAGTATGTAACATGTTACGTCTTAGTCAAACTACTCATCTCTCAGAAATAACAGATAAGAATAAACTCATCGAGACTTTGCTAACTGATGATCCTGTGTATTCAGCAGCTCAGTGGGCTTTACAGCAATCTGATCAATGTCTTCACAGTAGTCAGCTTCTGAACCTGTCTCACAAATGGTTTTTTGTGAAATTCAGTGTTTTAATGTGGAAGAACAGCAAGCCAGTAAGGCCTGAACCTTTACTACTATACTTTAATACAAGTAACTCTTTAATACTTTGCAAAATAAATAATGAGAACCATCCTCAGTTCCTAAATAATGAAAATGCTGTGGAAAGATAAGTCCTCTTGTTATTTTGACCTAGTAATTTCTCCCTGAGGTAACAGGAAATCCATTGGAAAAGAGACATTTGCATACAAATGTCTAGACAGTCATGTACCTCTTCTTGTGACAGGAAGAAGCTTTTGCATTGAGCAGGTGAAGTGAAAATACGACTTTCAGCATTACTGCAGTATGTTTGGTTTTTGCAACTGCTGTCCACTTGACCAAGGAATAATTATTTCATTGCAGAGCTCTGTCAAGTTGAACAGATGGATGGAAGCTATATGAAAGTATTTGTCAAGAGTTGGATTTCACGCACAGTTTTGATATGAGCTTTCACTGGGACTTTGTAGTACTGCCATTCGTAGGGTATGACAGCCCCTTTAAAAATGTTTAACATTTTAATGACTATTGTTATTAGTAGTAAGATAAGTGACTGCTTTTATGTTGGTAGCTCCCTTCAGTGTTTCCAGGCTATTCAACACGAACTATCCTCCTTTCTACTGATTTGAGAAGCAGTTGAAAAATAAAAATGTTCCTTGTTATATCATTCTTTTTTCTATCCAAGTGTCTTTGGACTCACTGACTGTGTAATTGATTATTTGTTGCTGGGCTGCGACTTGTCTAAATGATTATCAGAGACAGAATCATAATTTTGTGTGTATGGCAGAAAAAAAACCATTATTTTCTTTTCTGGAGGAAAGACGATTCTCATTTCATTTAAACTATAGAAATTAAGTTCACTTAGTGGAGTATGCTGTGAATTACACTAACTTTCATAAAAACAGGATCAAGGTTTGTATTTAGTTTTAAATTCTATAACATAGAATATATATGTTTCTAGTTTATTTTCTCTTTCTAGACCCCCCACACTGATTTTAAAATTACAAGATACAGTTCTACTGCATTCTTATGAAATGCCACTGTGTTTCCAAGTATAATGTAATTTTTTTTTTTCACAGAACAGTACATTGTGTGTGTGGGCTGTGGGTGGTATTGTTCACTTCCTTTTTCTGCTATTGATACTATTTCTACCTTTGAGCACGGAGGGTTTTTTTTCTAAACCACAGGCAATGAGTTCTCATTCCTCTAGACCAAATTCTGAAATGTGGACAGCTAAGGTATTCAGTTAAGCTGGAACTTTTTCTAAACAGTCATAAATCTTAGGTTAATTTGGAGTAGGAGAATAACATCTTGCCACCCACTTGGTCATTTTTACAAGTGGCAAAACAGTTATTTCCTCAATTTCCCCCTGTTTTGGAGGGTTAACCTATGTCAAAATAGATCTCCATAGAGTAACTCAGTGTTAAGCCATGTCTAAAATATTGTCATTTGTACATTGCCTCAAAAGCTTTTACAATACAGAACCGAAGTGGAAGATGGGGACCCATACTAGCATTCAAAAATATTACCTGTGTTCTATGTCACATTAGCTGCTCTCAAAATGTTTCACTTGTGTGCTGCTGGCACATATGTTCAAGGAAAATTGGTTGCAATTAGTAGTGAAAATGGGTCTTTCTGTTTGTTTTCCTATATTAAAAAAGGTGCAATTTCGGTAAAGCTCCACAATTCATGTTCCAAAGCCCTTTGAAGGGAAGCATATACTGTTTCATAAAATAGTTGCATGAAAGAATCTAAAGATATAATTTGATTAGATATTGTTTGTTAGTGAACTGTTCATGGTGTGTATTTTGGACATGAATTCTCCATTGGGGGGAATACAGATTGAATTTTTATTCTAAGACCATTGGATAAAACCACAGTTTAAATATAGGAACATTACGTTACTAGTTTTTTACATATTCATCTTAATAACAATTTTAAGTTACTTTTTTTCGTGACAGGTTGTGAAATTTACAAAATCCTTCGAGTTGTTATCTCCAAAATGCAGTGCTGATACTGACAACAGGTTAGTGCTTATGTTTTCACATAGTTTTAAATTTGCTTGATCATAGTTTTATTTTCTTATGGAAACTTGGGTAGATTTGATGGAAGAGTGTGAGCCTACAATTTTTACTCAGACAAGACTCCTTGCTTCAAATGGAGACTTCCTTGTATAAATATACATCCTTATTTTTTTATATATATATATGTGTGTGTATATATATGTGATAACATTGTAGCAGTGTCTCAGAGAAGACACCAGAAAATAACTGATGACTTCTTATTTTTGAACTCATGGAGAACACACAAATGTTGTTTTCCATAGTTAATACTGAAGTAAAAATGACAAAATTATTTTAGATTGTTGATCTCTTACAAAATGCCTCCTTGCAGTTGTGTTGAAAGATTTCCAGTAAAAATTTATTTCTGCTCTTGTTGTCAAGTTGGAAAGCCTAAAAACCTCAGAGAACATGTATTTCTTAGAAATTGTGATCCTGTGAATAAATCTTGTTTGGGAGCTCAGTCAAAATATAAGTATATGTTTTGCTTAGTAGGATCTGTATTTAAACATTGATAAAGGGCTAATTGCAAGTAGTAATAGAAAGAACTTTTCGTCCATGTGGGGTTACTGCATGAATTCCTATAAGGTAATGCAACTGGTAACAGTCCACATAAAATGTCCTACATACCAAACGAGTGGATGAACATTCAGGGCTATTGTGAGAAACTTTCTCCTATCTGTCAGGCCCCAGCCTCAGTGATTATCATACACGTTTTATGCAAATCAATTTATACTGATTCTGAATTAGAATTTTCCATATCAAATGGCTGCCATAACAATAAACCTAGCCTTCTGTCCAGCTTGCTATCCATAGCTTAGCAAACTTGAAGATTACTTTGTGCTTTGCTATATTGAAGCCCTTTAGGCAGCTTTTAAAAGCATTTTTGGGTAATTTGCCTTCTTTCGTGCTTTATTTCTTCACCTCCAGTGTGGTAAGAAGCTACCACTTCATTAAGGTGAATGTACACACTGTACTCCAGATTATGACAGGTCATAATTCTTAATGCTTTTCATGGATTGATCTCACAGCATTACAAAAATAAGTAGTGTTATTTTTAAGATGTGCAAGCTGACAGCAGAGTCCAGGGCCACACAGAAAGATGGGTAGAAGCTAGATCTCTTCCATGTTCTACCCACTAGTTGAGAGGTGGGAATGGTGAGAGAAATGGAAAAGGAAAACAAGTGATAAAAAATAGGAAGGTTTAAATATGAATAAATAATCTGTTGATTCATCTGGGAATCACAAGTAACTGCATTTGACAGAGCTTCAGAGTAGCAGTTGGTCTTTCCTAGGTCAATTAAATGGGTGAAAATACATTCCTTTTGTTCAGGGACAGGAGTGTGAATCAAGGGATGTGGTGTTGCTTCCTGTTTTTCTCAAACTTGATCTGTAGCCAGATTAGTCAGAACAATTGAGTTGTGTCAAGATAACCAAGCTGGCTCATTTCTTGTTACCATAGTTATATTAGCATGTTATCAAAAAACAATTTGTAGTAGCCTGCTCTGCAGGTAGCCAAGTGAAAATTATTTCAACTTTAATCTGAGATATCAATAAACACATGCAACTTGGTAACTAGTCTTTATAAGATTGATAAAGATATACTTCTGTGCATATTTATATTAAGATTTATGGCTTTCTCTTTCATTTTTCATTGAGTGGAGAGTGAAAGTTGGTTTTACTAAGACCAAGGTTAGACTGGCAGGTATGATGTCACATTTGGATCTAGCACAGGCACAGCTTGAGTTACTGCCACTACAGTGGGAAAATAAAGGTTATTTAGGATACAGAACAATGCTGTGAGCCCTTGACATTTGAGCATTTTTCTAGTGTGTTTTGCCCTTTGCATTCTACATTCTGCAGCCATAACTGATGTAAAGTCATGAGACCTTTCATGTGGAAAAAAATGGCAGGATGAGTTTCTTCGTCATTACACCAATGAAGATAAATATTATTTCTTTGAAATTTTAGTGGAAATCCAAAGAGATTATAAACTGAGAACAGTTCTAGTTATAAGTTTTATCTGAAAGAGAGAGAAGCTCCAAGGACAATATAACTTTTCATGTCCTAGCATACTTTCTTACACAGTTCTAGAAGAAATTGTCTTTTGCCCTTCTTGCATCCAGCTAGTAGCAGCTCACCTGTTCAGTCTCTAAATATTATAATGAATACTGGTATCTTTTTTCTTTGCTGTTGGTTGTAGAGAAGTGTCTTGCAACACTTGCGTTTATCTGTTCAGTTTGCTATTTTCCAGCACATAGTATGATCAAGTTTGTTTATTATCCATAATGGCACATGGATGCTCTTGTTTTTGCCAGTTGTTTTGTTCTTGAAGTACAGGTTTGCCAGGTCTCCTCAATTTTCTCTCCCTTTGAAAAAAGATTACATAAATCTTAGAAGCCTTGTGGTTTCAGTTCTGATGTATTCTAGATGAAGATGAGCCCAAGGGAAGGTGCTGTGAGCTCTCTTTCCTGTACATAAGTCATCACCTTGGCAGGTTATGTAGCTGAAGTTACAGTTCTCTAACCTGAGTATCAGTGGCAGTGGAAAGGTCAGCTGCCTGAGCCCCAGAGTGTGGGTTGCATGGGAGAAAATACCTGTGCTCCTTCCCAGCTGGGCTGGTAAAAAGAAAGTGCTGAAATCCCTGCTACCACTCTTACACCACCACTGTTCCTGGGATGAGGTACACTTGCATATCACCCCATTCCCTGCAGTATTTTTATGCTTCTTAAGACATCTTTCTGCTCTTCTAGTCCTAGGAGCTGGAAGGGTTCATGTCACTGTTTAGAGAAGATTGAAGGTACCTGTGATTTTGGCTGTACCACTTTCCTACTATACTTTCTGCCATTCCTGTCAGAGGCTTTGGGGAAGATAGCAAGGCAAGCGGCTGCAGAAGGGGAGCCTGCAGCACTGCTCAGTGCTCTCAAGCTGGGTTTACTCTCCTGCCTGGCACGCAGAGCTTCTGCTAGTGCATGGGCAAGAAGGGAGACGGTGGCATGCAGCTGCCTGCATCAGTCCAGTAGGACTCGCTCATGGCTTTCCACAGTTTGGAGAAAATCATTGCTTGTGATTTTTAGAAAAGCTTCTGAGTGCTTGTTCTGAGCTGCTGAGGGTAGAGAGAGAGCCAGCTGACTGTGATTTGCGTGAGAATTAATCATTGATATTTATTCCTAGTGAAAGTTGAGTGCCTCTCTTCCAGAGTGTAGTTTTAAAGCACTTGCTAGGAATTGAGACAACATAGTAAAACATACTTTCAAAACTTCTTCCTAAATTATATCTTGTTTCTTTTACTTGAATTCATTTGCTGCTTAAAATGCTTGACAACCCTAATGCTGTCCTGATTTAAAGTGTCTTATGTTATAATGATAATATCCAGATTTTTAAGGTATGAACTGGGAGCTATGTATTTGATATTAGATCTTATCCTTAAAGATATTTTTGCTTCTCAAGTATTGATGTTCTGAAATAAATTTTAAATTATAAATGTGAGGGTTTTACTTAGCTCAAAAAAACATTATATTTATGTAAAGGTTCCTGTCAAAGTATACACATAACATTTATTACTGTCACTCAAAATTCTTATCCCAATTGGAAGTTGATACTTAGATTTATTTGTGTAAATCATTATTATTATTTTCTTTATCGTCTTTTAAGAATATTGAGTTTTCTTTTAAATGAGTGACTTAGTTGAATTAGACTCCAGAAAATCAATGCAGCCAACAAAAATCAATCCTTTCACTTTGAGTCTTTCAAGCATTTTACTGTGCATCCTTCTTTCATTCATGTGCATTACTTTGAAGCTTCAAGCTATTGTTGTCTTCTCTGTGGCTGCTCAGAGTCAGTTTTTTCTAAGTAATATTTCTCAGGTGTTGAAAATTGATCAATTTTCTTCTCAAAACTAAGACAACATGCATTCATTTATTCACACATGAATAGCTACACCTTGCCAATGTCAAAAACCTGTCTGCAATAAGTCAGTAAGAACTTTCGTGCTGATTAGATGAGGAATAAGGCAAGGACTTTAAGGTCTGTGTAGATATTGAGTTTTCTGGAGAAGCTGTGCTGGAGCATGGTGAGTTGAGCCCATAATTCTAGTGTCTTATGCTTATTTACTGACAGCTCTTTAGCCCCTCAGTAGTTGTGCCCCTTCAGCAGAAGCTCAGCCAGAAAAAAAAAAGGAAACCTTCCTGTATGTTTACTTGGATCCACCTACTGCCACACACTTATATTATTGATTTTAAGACTTATTTCATGATTTCTTCTTCAGCCATTCAGGTCTGGTATTTCAGACAAAAATTTAAAAAATGACATTTCCTGTGACAGGAAAATTATTGGAAGTATTAATTAAAAATACCCCAAATAATTAGACTAATATGAAAAATTAAAATCTTATAATTATTATACTTTCAGGTAGCTCTACATAAAATATTATTTAGAACTGGTTGCTTTTGATGAGCAGGCCTGTATCCCACAAACTTGGAACATAATCCCACTCTTGATTCATATGTAAATGCATTTCGTTATTAAATGCTGTATTTACTTTACTTGGGAGACCAATGCTATTTTCAATAGAAAGAATTGTGTAAAGGAGAGAATTTTTGATGTACCATTTCAATAAATACTGAATTATTTTTCCATAGATAATGCTTAGTAACCATTAATAACTGTGAATGGTTCTGCTGTTCCTGTGAATATACCTGTAAGACACTGGACTTGCAAGCAACATTGACTGTATTCTTTTCTTCCCTTACTATGCCTTTTGATAGTTTCAAAGACAGCATGGAGAAATCATCATCTTATTCCGACTGGCTAATAAATAATAGCATTGCTGAACTCGTAGCTTCCACAGGTCTCCCAGTGAATATCAGTGATGCCTATCAGGATCCTCGCTTTGATGCTGAAGTAAGAGATTTTTAGAAATGTAAATACACATCACATTTTTGGCATTGCAACTAATATAACACAATTTTATTGTTATATCCAAGTGGCTGTAAAACATGTGAATATTTATTTTGAATTATTTTTTCTATCCAGTATGTCCTTCTCCTGGTTTGCTAGTTTTGACATGGCTTTATACAGTAAACATGGGTCACTGAATTAGCGTATGACTTTAGGCAGTTACTTAATCTGTCCATGATTCTTTTTTTTTTCCATTTATAAATGATACCTTCCTCTATCAAGGGCTTTGATACTTATGGAAACTGATTTTTATTGCTGAATATCCCACTGTTGGTGTTCAGTGTTAGCAGCGCTATCATTGTTAGCTGTTGGGGTGACTGGGACTGTACACATATAGAGTGTAAACAGAATTGGTATCTAGACAGACAAATGTTGTTTGTGATCTAACTTAGCCAACTAACCTTTTAATTTGCACAAATGGAATATACACACTGGTTTAGTTATTTCTCCAAGATGCATGTCATTCCTCGTAAGTTGTTTGTGTGTCCTAAGGTATTCATTCCAGCTTCAGTTAGGAAGGTATAGATACAGATAAAAACATATACTTAACAGCTAAATAAATGTTGAGGCATACGGAAGGACAAATTCTTCACTGAATTCTATCCTGTGAAACAGTACTACTATAGGTGACTTGGCCAACAGTTGGGTGGCACGTTAATCAGTGGACAGCCTTGGTCAGCAAGCTTGCTAAAATATATTACTGCAATAAGCGTCCTTGGAACTGTTTCATGTTGAGAGTTCACTTGATTCCAGTTTTGTTCCTTTATCATCAGGGATTATCTCTCAAACCAGCAAAACTTTTCAAAACAAGAAAAATAAAGGGAGCCTGCTGCAAAAGTGTACAAGAAAACTGTGTTGATGCTAATTTGTTCAGAATTTTTTAAAGTACAATTGATGCCTGGGGTCTGTTTCTTGCCAAAGAGATATGCTAAAATAAAGTATGACAATCCTTGATATGTTTGCAGTTGTACTTTTAATATACCACATCCTGAATAATTCAGGAATCTCTTACTTGTTTCACACTTAGTCCTTTAAAGTTAGAGGCACTGCCCAATTTATATAGAGGAAAAGAAAACACTTAATACAAAGGGCAGTAATTATTTTCTGTTGGTGGGTTCCTATGAAAATTAAATTCTTAAATTCAGTTGTTACAATTAATTATTTCTACAGACAGTCAAGTGTAGTAAGAGGAACATATTATCCCTTATGACTTAGATAAAATCAAACTTACATTTGTAGTTATGAACAGATATTCTGTTCTCCGCTTCTATTAAAAACACTCTCTTTTTTCTCCTAGAACACTAATTGTCATTTTCAAATGTTGATGTTCAACTTTCAACTCATTCACAGAGAATTTAATGCCCAAATATTTTCATTGAGTTCATTTTAAGACACACATCTGAGGCTGTTGTTCCCCCACTTCCATGGATTTTAGGTGGCACTCCAGGCTGGTTTCAGTGATGAGTTCTGAGTATGTACAAATAAGCAGTACTCTAGTTAAAACCTGAGTTATCTTTTGCTAGCTAGGAGATCATAGTGATTCCATCCTGCCTCCAGTATGTGAATTATTGCTGGTCTTTTACTTCTATTACAGATTGCCTGTAGCATTGGCAGTTTTAGTAAGAGAACATCTCTGGGTCTCCTGTGAGTGGGCTCATTCCACTCCCTTACTGTAATCTCTTTCGGAAAAATATTTTCTTTTCTTCAGATTTTGCAGCAATGACCCTAAAGAATAAAGCTTATTAACTGTAAAAAAAGAATGAATCGGTGTCACTTATAATAAATTGCAAAGTTTTATACTATATTAGATAGAAAACAATAAATGACACAGAAACTTATCTTCAGAACTACAGGATCAATTAAACCTACATAGAAAATCTCGAATCTTGGTTTTGACCTCATCCTTCCGTTTCTTCCTAGCTTCCACTTCTGCACAATTCCCTACTTATTCTTGCCTTTCTTCTGAAAATGTGTATTTCCTGTAAGCCTCCTTTTATAGCTGCTTTGCTAAATCTAATTTCAATTTGACAATTGGGAAGAGTATTTCTAAGGCACACTTGTTCAATGGAGGTTGTCTCTACTGATCCACCAGTGTAAGTAATACAGGAATTATCTGGGCATTGCCTCAATTGCAGTTTGTTTTTAATTCCAAATCAAAGTCAAATATCTAAGTTTTCTGTGGCAAAGATGGTGACGTTTGTGTTTTCTTTGGCAAGTTTTAGAATAACCCTTATGACTTTTGGTTGATCTTGCTGTGAATGAGCTTTCAGAAGAATCTTTTTCTGAGTGAGAGCTGATCCATATGGAATGACACTTGCTAAATGTAGATATATTCCTTGATATTTCTATTACTAGAATGTAAAAGGCTGCAAATGGTGCCTACTGCTAATGGAGGCTCTCCTTTCTATATTTTAGGCTGACCAAATTTCTGGCTTTCACATAAGGTCTGTTCTGTGTGTTCCTATATGGAATAGCAACCACCAAATAATTGGTAAGGCCTTCCTCATAGCTGCAGCATTTTTGTGCTAATGTAAATTTAGTTCTGTCTTTTTAATTCTATGTTCCATTTTCTTCTTTTTCCCAGCTGAATATTGTTAAGAAGTCACAGTACCTAGGATGCATGCTAAGTATCCAAGAAGGGATGTTTTGACTTGGATACTGTATGGACTTTTTCAGTTTTCCCATTGTGTCATTGTTAAGTTATGTGTTGTATTGAAACTTGAAGACTAATGAGACGAAAATGGAAATTCTAATAATGTTAGTGAAAAATGTTTGATATACTTTGATACTTTTCTTGGGTCTCCCTTTTTTGTACACAACTCAGGCAACTGTTTCTGCAGTCAAGGAAAGTGGTCATTTCCCTCTTTAATGATAAGCCTTCCCCAACTGCGTAGTTTATCAGAGAGGCTGTGGCAGCTGTCAGAGCTGCCTGTGGCAGTGGTGTGTGGTGGATCAGGACGTGAGAGGGTTTTATTGTTTATTTGATAGGATGCTTCCCAGCTATGATACACCTGCAGTTGGCCCCATGTTACTACCTGCTTTTGGCACAAAAAAGGAGTGCCATTTGTAAATAACAGTGCCAGATTACTCTGTTAACTTTCCACGGAAGAATTCAAGTCAAAATGACAGCAATTTAAACTGGCAGGGCAAGACTTACATCCCTGTGCCTTGTGGCTGTCAGTGAGAGCTGAGATCAGTAGCGCATTGCTGAAGGCACTCAGTGCTATGCAGGATCAGGATCTTTGAGCTTATTCAGCAAAGATGATGTGGGAATTGAGTTTTTAAAAATATGACTCATTGTTTGTTGTGAGGTGCGTATTACCTTAAAGTAGGAAGAAACTGAACCCTTGACTGCTGATAGCTCTTACAGTATTTTTCTAAGGACATACTGTAGCTAAATGAAATAGAAATTATTTGTTGCAGTAGAACTCACTATTAGTTCAGCTAGAGCCAAAAGCTTTGAACACTTTTTCAAGTGGTTTAAGGAAATTAATTTTTTTTCACTGCTTCAGTAAATTCATGGACTAGTCATGAGGAAAAGAAGGACTTACATACCTAGGTGATCTTAAACCAACTAAGATTTTAGGAATGAAGGTACTGATTTAGCAAATACATCAGTAACTCCAAATTGCTAGGACAACTTACATGATTGCTGTTAGCAAAGTGTTCAAGTTCTTTCCCAAAGCGGTCTTTAACCTTTTGTGAAAAGCATTGTGAGTAACTTTTTAGATTTGCAGAGTAAAGAATAACAGTTGATAATAATAAACTGAATCCTGGTATGAAAACAATCAGACTTTCACATGTCTATGTCTGTTCAATAATTTTCACAATAAATATTTGCAGTTTTGCTTTTCAGTTTGAAAGATGTATTTTAAATGTTACCAATGAATAAAATATTCTGCATTATGAATTAATGAAGATTATAATTCATATTAACTCTTTCTAAAGGGGTAGCTCAAGTGTTGAACAGGCTTGATGGGAAACCCTTTGACGATGCTGATCAGCGACTATTTGAAGTAAGAGGCATTCAATTTTATAGAAATAACATACTTTTTCAATAGGATTTGGTATTTCTGGGTAATGCTGTTTCAGGCTACTCTAGAGACAGAGGAAAAGTACGTTGTCTGTCTCTGTGGTTTGACATTAATTCTCAGAACTCCTCACTTAATAAGGTTGCATCCAAATTAAAACAACTTTCTTGCATCTGATCTTTCTCATGTTGTTGAGGCCAGTGACTTAGCTGCATTCTCAAGATAACCTGTCTAGGCATGGTTATTCCCAGTATTTTCATGCAATTCCTTTTCATGATTAAGCCAGTATTCGTCTTTGTTTTGTATTATAACTGACTTTCTTGTCTTTTTTCTGTTTTTAATTTTAGGCTTTTGTTATTTTCTGTGGCCTGGGCATCAACAACACAATTATGTACGATCAAGTGAAGAAATCCTGGGCAAAACAGTCTGTGGCTCTTGACGTATGTGTACATCTTAATGAAACCTTTTCTTGCTCATAAGTGTCACATGTGAAGAAACTTACTGCTTCTGAATTTATTGTAGTTACCATCATTTTCTATATCTGCCTTTCTGCACCCGAGTGTTGTCGTGTTAAGGTAATGCTGAAGGGAAACTTTCTTGGGGTATGCTTAGCTGTGGAGCTTGTGCACAGCTGACGTAATTTTGAACCTGGATATCTCATTTGATGCCTATGTTTTTTACGTTAGAAGGGGGGACAGTGATGATGGAGAATCTAGTTTCTTACAAGTGTAGGAGTTAATCTAGGCATTTTATATATTTTCTTATCCATCAGTGGCTGAAAATTCCTTAGAATTTGTTATTTTATTTAGCTTGTTTTTTCTAGTGTTGTAAAGTGTAAGTAAAACATACTGTGAACAGGGCAAAATTTGAAAAAAGTGATCATGGTCATAGGGTTTTTTGGTATCAAAAGCAACATCTGCTGAATCCTTGTCAGATATAAGCCTTGTTAGAATCAAGTCAAAGCAGGATGGCTGGCAGCTTAGTAAGAGCTCTGCTGTGGGTCAAGACCAATACATAATGCAAGGTCCTGGCATTCCAACACATCTCATATCTTTCTATAAAATACATATAGAGCAGCTAAATGGATGGAGAGCTTTCTCTTTTTTTGCCCATTGCCTTTGTAGGAATTTATCTTCCTGTTCTCCCCCAACCCCTTCATGAAGAATGAAATCTACCAGCTCCTGTAAAACAAACTCTAAAATGCAGAACATTTGAAAAAATTACGATTATTGAAACTTCTATAAGCTGATTCAACAATAATGCACTATTCTCTATTATATTCTGGAGATTTTAAACATAATCATATTAAAAATAATCTTGGTGAGAACAAAGCTTAGAGTTTTGAGGATAGCTTTACAAATGTACATTATTCCTACTAAAACAATAAAGAATGGTTTGAATGAAATTTAAGATCTTTTAAGAAGCATTATGCAAGACAGATTAATCTTAAAACATTCCTCTGATGAAAGGATAATGTTGCTAAGATTTCAGTGTTGGTTTAAATTTCACATGTGATAAGAGAAGAAAATGATCTAGCTGTCCCTGATGTGTGCACCCTTTAACTGTGTAACTCCTTTGAGTTTATACAATACCCAGTTAAAATAAGAACCACAAAAATAGTGTTGGCCTGATTGAGATATGAATTTCTCTCTATTAAAACAAAAATCAAACCAAACTGGATTGCTATGAAGATGACATCTTTTTTTTTCTTTGCTTTAGGGCTGGAGATATTTATCTGTGTACTGGGGATCTATCTTGTAAAGCACATAGACATGTTAAGGCTTTTTGAAGTCAATAGGACTGTGTTAGAAAACATTCTAAGCATAAGTGGGTTTTTTTATTATTCCTGTATACATATTCACTTAGGAGGAAAAGTTAAAAACTTTCCTTTTCAGGCCTCCTGCAAGATTCCTTATTCTTTACATATCATAGTCATGAATTAATATAAGCCCTCGTATGCCCCAGATATTTGTGCCATACGAAACCTTAGAATGAATACTTCTTCTGGCAAGAAAAACAAGCAGTGCACAATATCAGACTCAGATACACAGGGATGAAAGTTAACTTAGAAGTTTATTATTTACCAGTGAAATCAAGGAAATTTAAATTTCTTGGTTTAAAATACAGCTTCTTTCTTTGATCTAAAAAAGACTAATAGCCATACAGATTGAATGTAGATTATAGGTTTGATAAATGGCCACTCTGCTTCAGTGAAAAGTAGTTCTTTCTGTAAATGAGCAACAACTCGTGATAGTGTTTGTGTAAAGTGATTGAAGATACAGCAAAGTACTGAACAAAAGAATGGTATATGCTGAAGGACTGTGAATCCATTTTTCAGTAATAGAATACTTTATTAGTATTTATATATGTGGCTAGATGGCAATGAATGGCATTTGAAAATGACATTGATATCAGATATAAAATAAATCAATTTGATATATACTATAATAAGAGTCTTATCTAGATATACAGATACTGGTTTTCATACAGAATTCTCATAAGATTGACTAATAAACAGAAGACCAAAATGTAAACAAATAATGGGGAAAGATTGACAGTAGGATGCCATATGGTTCAAAACTAGGCTAAATACCATTTTATATATTAAGGATGCAAAATTTGCAAATTATTAAAAGATGAGAATAATTAACATTAAGGAAGACTGTAAAAATCTAGAGGGATATAATGAATGCAGATAAAGAAGAACCTCAATGAGAATTTTGGCATTGTGTAATCTGCCATTGCAGAAGACATAATTTTACTAATTTTAGATTTCTGAGAGAATCTACAATGTAGTTGGACAGAAAAATGGGTACTATTTGAGGAAGGACATAATGTATAGTTACAGAAAGTAAAACGTGGAACAGAACAAGTGAATTGGTGTTTGTTATTTATTCTTTTACAGTGCAGGAATGATTTCCTGTTACTGTAAAAGATGACACCCCTAAAACTGATATGCGTAAATACATCTTTGGACTTAGTGCCACAAGGTATTGCAAGCCAAGGGCATTTGAGGTAGAGTTTAGGTATTTGTATGAGTAAGAGACATTCATAGATAAAAACAATTTCAAAATGAGAAATCTATATCAAAGCTTTAGCACATAAGCAGACCAGGCGTTGCTGTGTGGTGAGGAGGATCTCTCCTTGCTAGGAGTGCTCTGACTCTGCGAGCTCCCTCATGGACCAGCACCTCGTCCCATGCACAGTCAGACCTTGGTGGGTCCAGCATACAGGATGGCTTTTGCACCTTCTGGAGTGCTTGTTCAATGTTAGTATTGTCACATGAGAATATAAAGTATTCCATGTAAATGTATGCATACATATAGGTAATAAGAGGACGTGTGCAGTACTTTGTGTATTTTATTTGATGCGTTCATCTCCAGAATGGTATTGAAGAAAATGTCAGGAATAGCATAGAGGTGCTAATTTGCATGCAGTGATGTGCCACTAGCAAGGGCATTAAAACTTTACAGTATAGCAAAAGGCATTATTCAAAGTCTATAAATCTACTGTTATTTTTACATTAAATTCTGTCTCTTAATTGTAGAACTCCAGGAGAACAATGTAGGAATTCTTATAATCTTAAATTACTTACTGTCCATGTTTCCCTGTAAAATTCCCTGCAACATAAATGCCAAATGTTTACCTGATAACCTGCAATTAATTGTTATATGCTGACATTCAGAACTGAATTACCATCCATAAATATTAATTAAATGGTTTAAATATCATTGATTAGACTGCAGTACGGTGCCCTATTATTTCTACTTGTCAAATGTTTTTTAATCTTTTGTTCTGGGACAGGTGTTATCTTATCACGCAACATGTTCGAAGGCAGAAGTTGATAAATTTAAGGTAAGGATTTAAGTTTTTAGTTATTACTGAAAATATAACAGTAAACTAAAACGGGTGTAGATTATCTGAGAGAAAAGGTTTACATCAAACCAGGGAATCATAATTAACAATGGTTTATGAAGGATGTATTACATGTTAGGCTGTTAGGCAGGGAAAGTGAAAAAAACCTTTCAAAGGAAAAAGAGCTGCAGTGATGGGTGCACAGTGGCAAAATACCGTTGTCCCAGCACCAGCTGCTGGAACTGCCGGTCAGCATGGGTTTGGTGGCCTCCTCAGTAAGAACCACCATAGGGAAGTCGTACCACAGTGGTGACTGAGGAAGAGACTAGAGAAAATGAGAAGAACTTGAGACTTTACATGCTTATAGTGTGGAAACTGTCCTGTATTTACTAAAAAACCAAAGCATTCAGTATCAAGATCGTGCATAGGCTCAGAAGAGTGGATGCAAAGATAAGAAATCCTCTTCTAACTTCTGTAAGTGACCTGGGCAGAACTGTGAAGCAATGTGTGCTGAACATACCATTGCTAGGGACCAATAATTATGTGTTCCCACTGCATCCTGCCTTGCCAAGGGATAGAGAGTAGGGGAAACTGTGACCTTTCTCTTATACCACTGTCAACACTCCAGCTTTTGTGATAGGCTTTGTTTGTCCTTTTCTGCTTGAGGAGACACTAGGGAAACTTGGTAGCACTGCACTTGGCTATGAGGAGACAGTGTTGTAGAGCGTTCCTCAAAGGTGTTTGGAAGGCGCTCATGGTGGGTATCAGTGTTGATCTCCTGTACACAAAGTACATCAGAGATTGGCAAGGTCTGGGAAGGAGATCTGGACTTTTGTGACCCTGTACTGCTGGTGTTCCCTGCTTTGGCTCCTTGGCACCCGTCTGGCTGAAAAATGGCTGTTTGGTTATTTTGACACTTGGCTGACTGGCTGCCTGCAACCTGATCGTTGCACCATAGGTATGGTTGTGGTGGAATGGGGAAGCCATGGGTGACTTAGCAGAACTGATACTAATGAGTTATGTGGGCTGAGGAACAGCAGCTATTGCTAGTTAGTTAATTAGTTTGTTCATTATTGTCCAAATGATGGCTATGCCTTAGAACTCTTGATACCTGGTGATAAGAGTGTAATATTCTCCCTCCATTGTAGTTATTGGTGCAGTTGCCCACTCTTTTGTAAGCTGAAGATTAGATTACTGAGCTGTTGCTGGAATGAAACATGCTTGAAGATCATTCCTACACTGCAGTCAGCAGAAAATACTTGTGTGCTTAATAAGTTGTATTTTATGTTTGGCAAAAAGAACGTTGACACTGTGAGAGAGAGGGGAAAGAAAGGGATAAAGGACCATAATTTTTTTGTGTGTCTATTTTAGTTTACCTTAGAATAAGCACCTGTAATATAGCTTCCATGACTGTCAGGATTCAACCGATATCTTTCTATGGACCGGAGGGCCATACTTCTTGGTTGCTGTCAGCCATTGAAAGAGAATTCTCCATCATGGTCTGTGTAATTGAAATAAAAGCCTGCTATGTTACTCTTTGGACTTGGATACTAGTATGATAAGGAGCTATTCTACTTGTTTTCCCAGGTGTTTTCATTAATAGATTTGCCAGTCTCCAAGTAAGGAATGTCTTGTTATTCATTTACCTTGAAGGCATGTAACTAGCCATTTAATGATTAATGATAAGGTAAAGGGAAATGAAAAGCATTTATTCATTAATAACCCCGATAGGTACATTTTTATAAAGAACATAGATGACAAAATGAGGAATATAACCAAGCTATGCTTAAACTAAGCTGAGATATTTTTTCAGAAAAATTTTCCCTTTCCTATATCCAATTGTCTTGTGTTCAATTCCTGACAAAATGAGTGCCAGGTGGTCCTTATTAATGCTTTACACCACTGGTTGTAAACAAAACAACAAAAACCCGGAGACGACCAGTGTGTCTTGTGGGCCTTCGACAGAGAGCTCATCCCCAGAGAGGGCCATCCAACTGTGGGATGAAATTGCTCCCGTCTCCCCCATTGCAGAGCTCTGGCAGCCGCTCTCCCTGCCGAGGACTCCTGGGGCATCCTACCCTGAAATCATTGCTCTTTTCTCTGTTTGTTATATTGTTATATTTTGTATAAGCCTTTTGTTATATATTAGGGTCATCTTCTAGACTTGACTGGCTAATAAACAATTCCTTCCTCTGGGGGTGTTTGGGGCTAAAACTGTCCCGTGTCCCTTTGGTGATTTATTGGCAGATGTCAGAAGAAATGTCTGTTAGAATTTACCTGATGTTCTGGTTCAGTCAGAACAGTAACAAACACACATGACAGAAACATCTAAATGAGAGTAATGCCAGTAGTTGCTACTGGCTCTTGACTGACACAGGACCTAACAGTAATTAATGACTTTGGAGTGACAATACATTTGAGTTGACTTTCCAACATATTATCCCAAACATACTGTAACTGGACCCCCGCAGCTTGGAAATAATTACATATTCTTCCTCCTAATTCAAGCTGTTTATTTCCATCTTTGTCATCTTATTTCTTTATAGTCTTAATAAAATGCTTTTCCATTAATTTTTATTTGCCTAAGATTTCAATAATATTCTGATACAAAGTGAAAAATTGCAAGTGTACTTGAAGTTTATTTTTCCTCTGGCTTTTAACAGTGAATTAATTTTATTGGATTACAGAAAGCCTAGCAAGACTAGTTAAAGTTTATTTTTTACTTGAAATTCTGTCAATAATTTTACCATTATTGGATGAATTCATAAATATACAAATTCACAAATATACCTGGTATCTTCCTCAGAGTTAAACATGATCACTATGAGCAGGTTCTGTAAAATAAATAATATTTCTATTGCTACAAATCCTGTCTAAGAATTAATGAAACAACAACAAAAAAAACCCTCCTTAATGAGAAACCCTTAAGAAATAAAATACCTTTCTCCAGATGCTAGGATGGGAAAAAGTGCAGAGCACCACTGGTTGTGGAACTGGAAAATACAGAGGGAATTTCACAGTATGGAACAATGAAATGTGAGAGTATGATAATGGTGCATTTCATGCAATTGCTCTATTCCATACCCGATTTCTACAATTGTCTAAAAACAAAGCAGCAACATAGATTCACATTGAATGGGTTTTTTTGCACATTTTTTGAAGGTATTCCACTTCTACTGTTACTAGAATATAGCTTTCACTCATAACAATGAGAAAGCCAAGTTTAAAAATGCTTATATGATTAGAAATTATTCTATTAATAAATGGATGGGTTTTTTTCTCAGAAGAGAATCCAATTACGTGATTCATCACTATAAAAATTCGTGTCAGCAGTCCTTTTCATTTATTTGCATTAAAGCTTTTGGGATTCATTAGCACTTACACTAGCAGGCAGATGTTTCTCAGGAGGCCAGTGCCAGCAGGACTGGGGTGTGAGGCTCAGACACAGTGTAGGCTGGTGCAGCTCTGCTGACCTGGATGGAGCCCTCCAGGTAGACAAAAGTGGAACTGCAGAGATCTAGATTCAGAGCCTGAGCAAATCCCTTCGTCTCTGTAGGTGATAATCTGGCCCAAGGGAAGGCAATGGGAGGTTTGCCATCGATTTCAGCAGATGCTGTTTTCAGCTTTGTTTGGCATTTGTAAAATTGCATAGTAATGCTCCCTCTGCCACCTTCCATCTATTTATTCATGGCAGTCAGTCTTTTGTATTGCATTTTCTGATAGAACAAGATCTCTGAAAAAAGTTAAGATTTAAGGCCCAGTCCTCTCTTTATGCCATTTTAAAATGTAGGTTAAGTGAAAACTTGAGTTCTCATGCAGTGTAAAATGGGTCCTTTTTCCTGAAAACAAGTAGGTTTTTAAATGAGGAAAAACATACGGAAGCTTACTTGATAGAGTTTCAATAACAGGCAACTGAGTCAGAATTAATTATTAATCAGAATTAATTGTGGGGTATCTACCATTACTGCTGGATTTGGGATATGCACTGTACTGCCAGGCTCTAAGAAAGAGGATGTGAGTTTTGTGAATGATTTATAGGATTAAAACAAGAGCAACAAAAACATAATTTATAGTAAGTATTGCACATAGACTCTCTGTTGCCAGCTTATTTTACATTTATTCACTACTAAATGTTTTTCAACTTTGATTTTTTTTTCAGATTTAGATTATGATGGCTTCCCCCCAAAAAAAGTCATTTAAATCTGATACACTGCTAAGTTCATATAAACTGCATAATATTTTTTAGGTTTTCTGACTTGTGCCTAATTCCTGCGATAGGTAGATTTCTGATACCATTGCTCTAGATATAGGGGGGAAAATTAAACTTTAATTGTCCTGGGCATTTGCAAGTAAAACAAAAAAAATTCACCTTGAGTACAAACATTTCTTGCACATCTGAGAATGTCTGTCTGCAGTCTTGAGCCTGATTTCTCACAATGCTTTTCCTCACTTGCATCTGTGTAACTACACTAAATTCAAACCTAATTTTGGCAGGATAAACTAAAGTAATGCATCAACAGATCATATCCGTATCAACATTAATTTTCTTTTTTTTAATAAGTTAGAAATAGGTATGACTAAAAACTGTGGCAACTCAGTTCTCTCTTGTACTTTAGACTTAAAAGACAATTCCTTTATTTCCATTGTGTACTAGCACTAGTGTTTAGCTATAAGCATTTGTACTGTTGGAATAGAAAAATGTAAGACTAGTGAAGTCTGATTAATCTAAGATTGATGCTATCCTATAGCATTGTCCTGTAGTGCCAGGTTTCTTCTCATTGAAATGCAGGCTCTCCAAACCTAAAAATAGTTGTCTTTTAGACAAATAGAGAAAGCTAAGATACATGAGTAAAGAATGCAGAATTCTGTCCATGACAGGGTATTTATAGCAAGAGTTACTGACTTCTGAGACAGCAATGAGCAAGTCCTGTGACTTAGCAAGCAGTCCCACAAACACACATCACCTTTAAATTTAATATAGTTTCCAAAGAGAATATGTA